AGTGAAATTATAGCTGTCGGCTTAGGGGGGATGTCCTTAGAGGGCTTGATGATCAGTTGTGTTCTGAGTTCCGTTGCATTAGGTATAGATAGGTATGTTTTCCATATGTCCTCGGCTTGTTGGTTGAAGGTCTGAGTCATCTGAAATGAGTATGAGTGATTACGGCGTATGTAACCTGAGGAGAGGCGATGAAGGAAGTTGGTATTGAAGAAGAAGAATCGTGACTTATCATATCAGAACCTTGTGTACCCGTATAAACCACTTCAATTTCTATTTGATGACTTTGAATTTTGGGTGGACTGAGATATTAAAATTAAGGGATAACAATATATCAAGTGAGAAAAAAATAAAAAATAAAACAAGTGAATGAAGAGATATTATATAATTGACATACCTGCAACAAATAAAACTAAGAATTTTGGTCCAGAGTATTCCATATTGTTCAGTAGCAAATTCACCAGTTCCAAAGCATAATAAAAATAAAATCATGCTAATACACATATGCAAAGTAACACCGTTTCTGTCCCAAAATGAATTATTGATTATTTTGAACGAATCATTATATATTACGTAATGAATATTATCTATAAGTATTATTGTTGCCATGGGTATTCCAGGGATGAGTAATAGGCAACACCATGAAGCCATACGGAGAAGTACATTTCGTGGGATAGTTGGTTTTGGGGAGGAAGACGCAGTGTTTGGTGGTGGACCTGCACGCGTGCTGCGTATTTGACTAGGTTTAGGGGAAATTCTGGATTGCCAAGGAAGCGCGAATGTTTCTCGAAAACGATAGGTACGGTAAACTTTTCTGGCGACAGGAATTACTGTAATAACTTTAGAAGTAATAAATATTGTAATAGAAAATGTTATATATGATATTATTAATAATTATTAATAAAATTAACTGATGACAAAGTTATAAATGAAAAAAAAAGTAAAAAATTACCAGATAAAACACATGAAGGATAAATTGGTAAGAACTCAGGAACGGTTCTTACAAAAAATAAAGGAGTTCTATAAATGCTATGCCGAGAGACTGTACAAATGCCACCCGTACCGATCACCGCAAACATAGGATCATGATGCACAGCCAACATCGTTAAGCTCAATGCAATGCTCGCTATCGGTATCACGACAGTTAAAAAAATATTAAGCCTCCTTATTTTGACATCATTTCGTTTTGTGACGGGAGATGCAAGGCCTAAAGAAATATAAAGCTCTGTTGATAGAGCTAATGCTACACCGTAATTTGAAATAGAAGAAAGAGAATACAGGAAGCCACTGATACCACACCAAACATGTTCAAAGGTTGAGGCATCTTTGAGGCTAAAGTCGTTTGGAAGAAATATGCCAGCGAGAACGAAGGAGACGGATATTATAGAATTTGAGATGCTATACCATATTAAAATTTGAGCACGACGTTTAACTTGAACATAAATATTTTGCAAGCACAAAATTGAAATTATTATGCATGCAAAGAGCATAAAAGGTTCCATCTATGAATCAAATATAAACGCGATAGGTTGGACGTGCCGACGTTAATTAAAATTTAATCATCAATAAATCTAATATTAAATGAATATTAAACGTAAGATGCAATAGAAAAAAAAAAAAAATAGGATAAAAAAAAGTCCCTTCAAGAATGAATTCGAGAATGTTCAATCCCTACGAAATCTTAAGGCAAATTAAGGATAATAATGGATGGATCATATACACAGTAGCTTTAAAGAACGATGTTAAAGACAATGGAGTATATAATTGAATCTTTAATAATGTAATAGCGCGTCAAAATCAAAGTTCATAAAGTCCAACAAAAAACATGTTCATAACAAGAACAGTGAATAAATAAGACTATCTGAAGATAAAAATATGTGATACAAATAATAAATAGTGCTGATAAGAGTGTCGTAGGTCATTTTATGATAAAGCACTATTATTTTTTTAGAAAATTGTGTTACCCTAAAACTTAATTTTAATTACTTTCAATTTAACTTCAAAATGAATACTTTAAATGAACGCAGGGCGTGCAGTACGTGTGATCGTGCTCCCGCCGTCTTTAATTAGGATTATTTGTCCGGTTTGCGATACATAACAGAAGAAACAGAAAGATAGCATCCAGATTTACATTATTTATGCCTGTTAATTTTCTGCAGGTCATTATCAATATTCACATAAAATACGTAGAATGTTTCAATTATAAAATTGTAAGAATTACGTATAAGAAAATTATTATATTTTTTTTAATAATGAAAATTTCTCATATTTTATGCTAAAAGATTTTATAAATTTGAAAATAGATAAGACAAAAGAAGTTTGTTAATAAATAGAAAGAGAAGATGACCAAATGTTCCGTGAAAACCGCGAGTTTAACGAATTTTGTATTACTGTGCATTAAATTAGATCAGATTAGATCCATAGACGTAAGAAATTTGTTTACAAAGATAAGAAATTTCTGTTTCTTAATTAATTTATATTATTCTGATGTTATGTTGATTTGAAAACATTGTAATTTACTGCTAAGGAAGAACTTTGACATTCTCGTTGGATATTAAATATTTAGTAAATCTAAAGTAATGAACAAATGATTTTTCATAATAGCTATATTACAATAATTCGAATAAACCATTAAAGGGAATTACCAACTATCTTTATGCATCCAATGAGTGATATATTTAGGAATTATTTGTCGTAATTTAAAACATATTTCTTGCAAGGGGGGACCGTAAACTTACGTTTTTTATGTCAATCTTATTTCGGCTATTTGTGTACAATGATAGAAAATTATCCGTGTGGAATCCATTGATAAAGATTATTTCTAAATCGGTAAATATGCTTAATGAAATGCAGTAATAACGGTAATATTTAGAATCTCGTGATTACCTCATATAGTGAAAAATAGTGGATCATCTTAATTATCCAGATAATCAATCATTATTATATAATTAGTACGTATACGTATAACGATAATAGATTTTATTTTATTTTATTAAGGTAACTTAATTATCATTGTTTTTCCATAATAACTACGTAGCAGTAATCTGGCAAATCCAGCAAATCAGAGCAACCAGAGCAATCAGAGTTGAGCTACAGCGCATGTTCCACTGGTTTATTATGTATATCTTATCTTGCCAAGGATAACCATTTTTGTAACAATATTTAATTTCCCAAAAAGATATTAGTGCTTATTTGGAATTAGTAAATCTTATAAATCTTATATCTGAAACACTTTACTGTTTATTTGCGAATGTTTGTTAATAGAATTATGACTATATATGCATATATATAATTATTTATAGAATTATGACTACGTATATACTGTATATACATATATATAATTAATAATAAATATAATCATGATATAAATGTATATAATAAATTATAAACCCATTATGATCGGTCACGATATAATCACATGTAAAATTGTAAGATAATTCCATAAACACTGCAAAGAATCATCTGATATAGATATCATCTGTTCATCAGAAACCATCCAAAATGAACCTTCGGGACTATCAATTTATTGGAACAATGCATTAATTCTATTACTAATTAATCAATTCTATTACTAATTACTCACAAAATACCCGATATGAGCTTGTAGAATTCTAAATTGGCCTCAAAATCAAAATTCATAGAGTTAATACCTGAATTATGTATGATTAACGGATTGAACGATTAATCCGTGGATTTTTTATAACTCACTCGGATTAACAGAGGTGATGTTTGTGTTGTAGGTGGTTACGGGATGTTTGTAGATTCGGAATCAACTTAAGTTGATTTCGGATCTTAAAAATACTTAAGTGGGAATAGAATTATGCAACAAAGCAGGGACACGGAATTTATGCGATAAGAATTTGTAAATTATGCGTGCGGTATGTGTAATATATGCGATTTGCTGAT